TGCCCCACGCCACAGCACATGGTGCACCACCAGCTCTCTTGCCCACCCAACCTCCCACTATGACACACAAGAAACTGCACAAACCTGTGTATGTAAGCTGTATGTATGCTGTAAGCAGTATATACGCATGGACACAAAAACATGCTTGCACGCACACTCGGACAGGCACTCGCACAGGCACCCCCCCCACCCCCCACACACACACAGACACACTTTCTCTCTTTCTCCTGTCCATGTCACGGTGTCACCTCCCTGCCACCCAGCCACCCTCTGTGACACCCAGTCAGGCCTGGTTGCCATGTGGAGCATGCTTCCATCCTTCCCCTCCACAGGAGGTTAGTGGCACCTTAATTGGGGAGTACGGACTCGTGGTGATGGCTGGAGCGGAATGAGTGGAATGGTATCATACACATGGTTTCTATGTGTTTGATGCCATTCCATTTGCTCCGTTCCAGCCATTATTATGAGCCGTCCTTCCCTCAGCAGCCTCCACTGTTCCACTCTCTCCCCCTGGTTCCCTTTCACTGTGTGGGAACGGTGCCTGGCTGGCCATTGGCAGCGATGAATGCAGTCTCAGCAAAGTAGTGTTATATAATAGGAATAGGAATATATTGTATTATATGATATGATATTATATTGCATATATTGCAGGTGTGTGCATTACAGGGTGTGGACACAAAGTATGCCCACATCAGGGGCAGCTCTCTCTCTCTCTCTCTCTCTCTCTCTCTCACACACCCTGTTAACTCAGATAGGAAATGAAAGCCAGCTGCGGCTTCATGATTTTATCTGTGATGCTTTGCTGTTATATGTAATTGACCTTCTCAGGTGTTTATGTCCCCCAGTTGGATTGATTATTCCATTTCCACTTTGATGGAGGAATGACAGGAATATACTGAAGAGCCTTTCTACTCTTCACTTTAACCTCTACACTCCTCACATACACTATGTGGGGTTCTATTTTCTTATAACTATATGTGATGCCTAGCTTAGAAAGAATACATTAATGATTAAACATAATAGGTTTGTGCTGTACTGATATAGATTGGTCAACATAACAATCTGTGATTAATGTGAGGAACTATTAGGGGGTAGGCCGAGACAGACTTGTGTCTCACAGACACAAACACTGGCTCTTTGTTTGAACGCTCAAGGACGTGTACTGCAAAAGTGCTGACTCTCTGGACAAGTTGCAAAACAACGAACACCTGGCAACAGTGAAGCGCCAAGGGGTTGGGACCAGCCTGTGCGCCAACGATAGGCTGAGTAAGTCTAAACCACGCTCAGTCTCTACTCTGATAGGCCAGCAGGGAGCGGGAACTATCTCTGTCAGAGTATTTAAAGAAGAATTTAGAACAATGGCTTAGTTCTCTGTCTGCCCTGCGTGGTATTTCAGTGGACCCGTATATACGAACATCATATTTACCATTGAAGGTTTTGCATTAATTAAAATACTAGTCTATATTAGAAGACGTGTATTGACCTCTTTTTGTTCCTATACCAGATTTGAATTGACGCAACTTATCAACTACCAGTCAAACGTTTGAACACACCTACTCATTCCAGGGTTTTTCTTTATTTTTTAACTATTTTCTACATTGTAAAATACTAGTGAAGATATCAAAACTATGAAATAACACATATGGAATCATGTAGTAACCAAATAACCAAAAAAGTGTTAAACAAATCAAAATATATTTTATATTTCAGATTCTTCAAAGTAGCCACCCTTTGCCTTGATGACAGCTTTGCACACTCTTGGCATTCTCTCAACCAGCTTCATGAGGTAGTCACCTGGAATGCATTTCAATTAACAGGTGTGACTTCTTAAATGTTAATTTGTGGAATTTCTTTCCTTCTTAATGCATTTGAGACAATCAGTTGTGCTGTGACAAGGTAGCGGGGGTATACAGAAGATAGCCCTATTTGGTAAAAGACCAAGTCCATATTATGGCAAGAATAGCTCAAATAAGCAAAGAGAAACGACAGTCCATCATTACTTTAAGACATGAAGGTCAGTCAATGCCGAAAATGTCAAGAACTTTGAAAGTTTCTTCAAGTGCAGTCGAAAAAACATTCAAGCGCTATGATGAAACTGGCTCTCATGAGGACCGCCACAGGAAAGGAAGACCCAGAGTTACCTCTGCTGCAGAGGATAAATTCATTAGCGTTAACTGCACCTCAGATTGCAGCCCAAATAAATGCTTCACAGAGTTCAAGTAACAGACACATCTCAACATCAACTGTTTAGAAGAGACTGCGTGAATCAGGCCTTCATGGTCGAATTGCAAGAAGAGACTTGCGTGGGCCAAGAAACACGAACAATGGACATCAGACCGGTGGAAATCTGTCCTTTGGTCTGATGAGTCCAAATTTAAGATTTTTGGTTCCAACTGCCGTGTCTTTGTGAGACGCAGAATAGGTGAACGGATGATCTCAGCATGTGTGGTTCTCACCGTGAAGCATGGAGGAGGAGGTGTGATGGTGCTTTGCTGGTGACACTGTCAGTGATTTATTTAGAATTCAAGGCACACTTAACCAGCATGGCTACCACAGCATTCTGCAGCGATATGCCATCCCATCTGGTTTGCGCTTAGTGGGACTATCATTTGTTTTTCAACAGGACAATGACCCAACACACCTCCAGGCAGTGTAAGGGCTATTTGTCGAAGAAGGAGAGTGATGGAGTGCTGCATCAGATGACCTGGCCTTCACAATCACCCGACCTCAACCCAATTGAGATGGTTTGGGATGAGTTGGACCGTAGAGTGAAGGAAAAGCAGCCAACAAGTGCTCAGCATATGTGGGAACTCCTTCAAGACTGTTGGAAAAGCATTCCTCGTGAAGCTGGTTGAGAGAATGCCAAGACTGTGCAAAGCTGTCATCAAGGCAAAGGGTGGCTCCTTTGAAGAATCTCAAATATAAAATATATTTTGATTTGTTTAACACTTTTTTGGTTACTACATGATTCCATATGTGTTATTTCATAGTTTTGATGTCTTCACTATTATTCTACAATGTAGAAAATAGTAAAAATAAAGAAAAACCTTTGAATGAGTAGGTGTGTCCAAACTTTTGACTGGTACTGTATGTGTAAGTAATGTAATGTAATAATGTAAGTCCATTATGCCATTTGTCTTAGGCTACATTATCATTAAATATTATCATGAACTTGGGGTACAATAATCAAAAGTACAGGCTTTAAATAGGTATATCTGTTGTAAATTATACACATAAAATGTAAATTGTAACTTAAGTTTGACATGAACACTGTTAAAATCATTCATTAGGCATAACAGGGAAAAAACACGTATGCCTGTTATTGAATTTAATACCAGTTTTAGACCTAATTCTTTCTAATAAATAGTCACGCTGTGATCTGATTTTCAAGTGGAATTATAATGGCTCATAATGAGGTGTTTGAGCTAAATGTGTGAAAGTGATGTCTTTGTATTTAGTTCAGCACTGTATTTAGTTAAGTAATTTAAATAACTCCATGTCATATGGAGGGGCTTTCACTATCAAGATGATCTGATTGAACTCTATGGAAAGCTATAGAAGTCAGTTGTTAAGAGAGTTGCACAGAGACCGCATGCGAGTACTTCTCTTTCTTTTCCAAGTCATAGAAGTCAGACGGTTATCAAAGGTGTCATGCTAATAAAATGCCACATCGCCACGACATCAAACAGCTTCTCTGTTGTAAACTTTACAATACAACAGAACTACCTAAAGTTTAGCTCTGTTGTTTACAAACTGTTGGACAATGCAGGTGCTGCAGGTGGAATTCCAGACACAACAAAAGCCTCTCAATAACCTCTCCCACAGCAAAGTCCCGAAGCCTCTTGACTCATTTGCTGCCACATCTGCTCCTCAGGGTGAGTAACCTATGAAATGAGTTCTGACATTAATGATCACAGGCCTGGTGGATGAGCAGCCTGACATCAATGCTTTTCTGCTCTAGTGTTGACAAGGCAGAGGGATTTAGAGTGATTTCCCCTGCCTGACTGCTGGGCTGTAGAGCACTGTAGCGTTGTGAGACAGCGAGCTTACCCGTAGGGTCTGAAACATTTCCTCTGACGGTCTGTACGCCTCACATCAATAAACTGGTGTATCCACCTACTGTATACTGTATGTCTCAGTGGACGATCTAGACTGGACTTGAGAGGTTGGTGGTCAACAGCCTAACTAAACATTACAGAAATCCACTCAAATGTATTCTTGTGGATATTGTGCTGCCCTTCTAGAGCATTAGCACAATCTAAGTCCATTTTGTAGAGAGTAGAATCCCAGCTCTGACCAATGATCTGCATATTCATTTTGTACATAAAAGATTGGGAGTCAGAGAACACCTGTGATGAAATCGATTGGACAACATGAAAGCCTTCTATTATTCCCACTCCCTGCAGCTAAAGACCTCATCTCCAATTCAACACTGTCTGTTTCCCTTCACCTGCTATGGGCGCTGCCTGGCCTGGCTAACAGACAGAGAGCAGTGTACCTACAGGATCCCCTCCAGGACTTTCTCCACATCTCTCCCTCGCAGTGCCGACCTGCAGCCTAGAAGTTTCCAGAAGTTTCCCGATTTATGACAGGATCTCATTTCAGCTAGTTTCAATGGGATGAAACAGTTACAGAACTAATGAGTAGATTGTCAGTTATCCAAGACGTTTGATGGGTTCTGATGAGATTTGCGGCAGCTATTATTTTTGGTTCAACAGGATCGACACTGATAACCCCGCTCTATGGCCCCCAAAATAAAACTGCGGACCGCTCTATCTCAGTGTTCTAAGAGGCTTTTCCTCTAGGTGAGACCTTTCTATTTCTTGGCAGTTGTTCGCTACTTACTGTTCACTTACTCACAGTTCATCTTCCTTCTAATTCACTGAAGGATAAGGAATCTACCTCATGGCTATAAGAGAACCAAAGCAGTACACACCATGCGATTCAGGGTTTGAACCTCTACCCCAGTGACCCGTCGGTCGATAATTGACCTGGTCTCGCTAGAACATTTCCTGGAACACCGACAAGGCCTTAATGTACTGGTGGCGCATACCCTCTAGGATGACCTCTTTGCCCGTCTTCTTCAGGGCCTGCACGGCCTCGTCGTGTGTGGCGTCCCGGAGGTCGGCGCCGTTGACCGACAGGATGGCGTCACCCACGTACAGGGCCTCCGTCTGGTCAGCCGCCAACCCTTTGAAGATCTTCGAGATGAGAATGGGCATTTTGTTCTCTTTTCCACCTGTAAAGTAGAGCACATGGCATCCGCTCAGTTCATGTCAATGAGACACAGTACGCTTCATGTACAAACTACAAACCAGATGGTTACAGGGCTTAGATTGTGCCCCTCTCTAAAAGGAGATGGGGTATGAATATAAAATATTGTAGTCTACAGGATTATAATACATACGCTTTATCCTAGGGCTTAGAGTAAATCCCTCCCCACTGGGCACATTTACATTTGGTTGAGTTGTCAACTAACGTGAATTCAACGTGAAATCAACAAAAAATGTCACCATGTCATTGGATTTAGCTTAAATCTTTTTGCAAATCCAATCAGATTTTCACGTTGATTATTTGTGTTGAAATGACGTGGAAACAATGTTGATTCAACCAGTTTTTGCCCAGTGGATCTGATACTAGTGACTAACATTTGAGGGGTTTCTTGGGAATCTTCTATAGTTTGTTGAAAGTTGTTTAAGAGAAAGGAAAGTAGCAATGCACAAGGAAAGTTTTGCTCCATGGGTGTAGGTACTCTTGAGACTGACTAGATTGAGTGACAGAACAGAGTTCATAGTAAGTACATAAGACTACATCACTCGCGACAGTGCTCAATGGTTTAATTTGAAAAGCTGAGCAAGGGACAAGTTTCACATTAAGACTGCAGCTGTAGAGAATACGAGGACACCAGTTATCCACTCTGCCTGGCTGCAGTCTCTTCTCTCTAACAGGATAATGAAGGTCTGTTCATAGGCTGGAGGCCCCTTCGTGGGAAATATTGTCAATAATGTCAAGTGCCAGTTGGGTCTTGGCCTTGGGGTGGCTGAAAAATTTTCCGAAAGAGGATTAAATCAAATTAATTTTGAATATATATTACACAGGTTGGCTCCCACGGGCGATACTACAGATTTAATTAATGCATCGTCTTCCGAGACTAGAGCCAGGTGCCCTCAATAAAAGATGTCGGGGCTGACACCCACACCCATGCATCTCAATCACAGTGGCATCGGCGCAGACTGCGACTCCCTCCGCTGTCAATATGATCTATGCCTTTTCTGAGTGGGGCTAGCGGTGCACACTAGTGTGACATTTGATGGCTGTTTGTTCAGTGATTGATGTGCAGAAATTATGCCCACCAAATTGAGATTCTGACCCCTGATGAATTGTGTGGGAGGCATATAAGGCGAGGGCAGAAATGATATCCTCAGTGATTCAATAAAAATAGAACTACCACATAATGTAATCCCAGACTGTAATATCACCAAATCGAAATCACCAAGGAAAAAACTCCAAATAGACTTGTAGATTAGATCATGAACAAATCATAGACAATATGCAATATTGGGCGATATTTCATAGACTACATTCTAGCCAATCAACTTGAATATGTGAAATTCGAAACAAAGAAATCACATCTCTATTATTTTTTTGTCTGCATCATTTCCAATCCCCCATACATATTTTTTTGTAAATATATACAGTATATATACAGTACCAGTCAAAGGTTTGGACACACATATTCATTCCAGGGATTTTCTTTATTTTGACTATTTTCTACATCGTAGAATAATAGTGAAGACATCAACTATAAAATAACACATATATAGTAACCAAAAAAGTGTTAAACAAATCAAAATATATTTTATATTTTAGACTCTTCAAAGTAGCCAACCTTTGCCTTGATGACAGCTTTGCACACTCATGGCATTCTCTCAACCAGTTTCATGAGGTAGACACCTGGAATGCATTTCAATTAACAGGTGTGCCTTCTTAAAAGTTAATTTGTGGAATTTCTTTCCTTCTTAACGTACAATCAGTTGTGTTGTGACAAGGTAGGATTTTTTTATGCACGGACTTGAGCCACCTCTTAACCGTATACTGGTCTCAAAGGTCCAATAGCCCACACTGCAAAGCTTCAAATAGTATCCTAAGCTTTTTCAGTCAACCATTCACTATTTGCAGCAGAGAAACTGAAGCCTATTATCACGTAAGCTTATTTTCATTGCATTACACTAAACACTCCAGACCTCTTACCCCCGCCCCTAGGACAGTGCAAAAACAGGATATTGAACGCCAGTAATCACTCCAGGACCTAGTCAGCACGCTTTCTCCCATCAAATGACTACCTGGGACGGCAGCCAAAACCCCTGGACTGACATGCTAACATACAGTACTTTATCATCCGCATAGTACAGTATAAACCACAAGAACAGTGCTCGTCAGCATTTCCCCTAATATTGGCAATTCAGCTGCAGTGTCTTCTCCCTGTATCTGGGCAAACTACGACCTTGAAAGAGATAAGAGGACCACCTACAGAGAGTGACATGGGGAACAATACCTGTAGCCACCATTCTGGCCACCTAGCCTTAACATGTCACAACTGTCAAACAAGGTTTCATGACATCACACTTTTGTCCCCACAGTGTGAAATGGCGGTTTTACTTACAATTGAATGAGGAACACAACACACTTTATTGATTCTGACTAGAATCTCTAGGAAGATTTACAATGTATGAAAAGGCAACCTGGTCTCAAATCATTTCATATTATTCTGTACGTAAATCCGAGCTGTTCCTTTTAGTATGATATGTTACATTTCGTATGGTATGTATTAATTTGTGGATGTCCATCACACATTTCGCATGATATTATATGAATTACAATTCAAATTATATGTTACGAATTAACAAAACACACAATAAGTTACATTTTGCAAAGAACGTACAATGATATGTTACAAATTCTAGCTAGGTGGCTAATGTTAGCTAGCTGGCTAATGTTAGCTAGCTGGCTAAAGTTAGCTAGACTAGGGGTTAGGGTTAAGGTTAGGGTTAAGTTTAGGAGCTTGGTTAAAGAGTTAAGGTTAGGGTTAGGGGAAGAGTTAGCTAACAACATAAGTAGTTGCAAAGTAAAATGAACAAAAACATAATCGCAACATGCAACAATTTCAAAGATCTTACTGCATTACAGTTCATATAAGGAAATCAGTCAATTGAAATAAATTCATTAGGCCCTAACCTATGGATTTCACAAGACTGGGAATACCGATATGCATCTGTTGATCACAGATACCTTAAAAAAGAAAGGTAGGGGCGTGGATCACAAAACCAGTCAGTATCTGGTGTGACCACCATTTGCCTCATGCAGCGCGACACATCTCCTTCGCATAGAGTTGATCAGGCTACCGGGCATGATGACACCTTGCTGTCCCCAGTCCGCCTGGCCTTGCTGCTATTCCAGTTTCAACTGTTCTGCCTGCGGCTACGAAACCCCTACCTGTCCCAGACCTGCTGTTTTCAACTCTTAATGATCGGCTATGAAAAGCCAACTGAGAGACCTGAGCCCTAGGACCATACGTCGGGACTACCGGCCGTGGTGACTCCTTGCTGTCCCCAGTCCGCCTGGCCTTGCTGCTATTCCAGTTTAAACTGTTCTGCCTGCGGTTATGGAACCCCTACCTGTCCCAGACCTGCTGTTTTCAAACTCTTAATGATCGGCTATGAAAAGCCAACTGAGATTTATTCCTGATTATTATTTGACCATGCTTGTCACTTATGAACATTTTTGAACATCTTGGCATGGTTCTGTTATAATCTCCACCCGGCACAGCCAGAAGAGGACTGGCCACCCCTCATAGCCTGGTTCCTCTCTAGGTTTCTTCCTAGGTTTTCGCCTTTCTAGGGAGTTTTTCCTAGCCACCGTGCTTCTACACCTGCATTACTAGCTGTTTGGGGTTTTAGGCTGGGTTTCTGTACAGCACTTCGAGATATTAGCTGATGTAAGAAGGGCTATATAAAATAAAATTGATTGATTGATTGATTGATTGTGGCCTGTGGAATGTTGTCCCACTCCTCTTCAATGGCTGTCCAAAGTTGCTGGATATTGGCGGGAACTGGAACACGCTGTCGTACACGTCGATCCAGAGCATCCTAAACATGCTCAATGGGTGACATGTCTGGTGAGTAAGCAGGCCATGGAAGAACTGGGACATTTTCAGCTTTCAGGAATTGTGTACAGATCTTTGCGACATGAGGCTGTGCATTATCATGCTGGAACATGAGGTGATGGCGACGGATGAATGGCACAACAATGGGCCTCAGGATCTCGTCACGGTATTCCTGTGCATTCAAATTGCAATTGTTCATTGTCTGTAGCTTATACCTGCCCATACCATAACCCCACCGCCATCATGGAGCACTCTGTTCACAACGTTGACATCAGCAAACCGCTCGCCCACACGACGCCATACGTATGCCATCTGCCCTGTACAGTTGAAACCGGTACTCATCTGTGAAGAGCACACTTCTCCAGCGTGCCAGTGGCCATCCAAGGTGAGCATTTGCCCACTAAAGTTAGTTACAATGCCGAACTGCAGTCAGGTCAAGACCCTGCTGAGGACGACGAGCACAGAGATCAGCTTCCCTGAGTCGGTTTCTGACAGTTTGTGCAGAAATTCTTTGGTTGTACAAACCCACAGTTTCATCAGCTGTCCGGGTGACTGGTCTCAGATGATCCCGCAGGTGAAGAAGCTGGATGTGGAGGTCCTGGGCTGGCGTGGTTACACGTGGTCTGCGGTTGTGAGGCCGGTTCGATGTACTGCCAAAATCTCAAAAACGACATTGGAGGAGGCTTATGGTAGAGAAATGAACATTCAATTAGCTGGCAACAGATCTGGTGGACATTTCTGCAGTCAGCATGCCAATTGCACGTTCCCTCAAAACTTGAGACATCTGTGTGACAAAACGGCACATTTTACATTTACATTTACATTTACATTTACATCATTTAGCAGACGCTCTTATCCAGAGCGACTTACAAATTGGTGCATTCAACTTATGATAGCAAGTGGGACAACAACTTTTTATCTTATTTATTTTATGGGGGGGGGGGGGGGGGTAGAAGGATGACTTTATACTATTCCAGGTATTATTTAAAGTGGTAGGGTTTCAAGTGTCTCCGGAAGGTGGTCAGTGAATCCGCTGTCCTGGCGTCGTGGGGGAGCTTGTTCCACCATTGGGGTGCCAGAGCAGCAAATAGCTTTGACTGGGCTGAGCGGGAACTGTGCTTCTGTAGAGGTAGGGGAGCTAGCAGGCCAGAGGTGGATGAACGTAGTGCCCTCGTTTTAGAGTGGCCTTTTACTGTCCCCAGCACAAGATGCACCTGTGTAATGATCATGCTGTTTAATCAGCTTATTGCTATGCCACACCTGTCAGGTGGATGGAATATCTTGACAAAGAAGAAATGCTCACTAACAGGGATGAAAACAAATTTGTGCACAAAAGAGAAATAAGCTTTTTGTGCGTATGGAACATTTCTGGGATCTTTTATTTCAGCTCATGAAACATGGGACCAACACTTTACATGTTGCGTTTATATTTTTGTTCAGTGTAGCTAAAAAGTTCTAAGTAGTTGAAAAGTTGCTAATTAGCTAAATTGCTAAAATTGTCCGTGATGAGATTCGACATTCGCGTTATACGCCTACCCATCCACCCCAACCAACCACCCTACTTTCGTTTTTGCTTAAGGCAAACCATCTGTCTTAACCATACCAAACGTAACATATAATACTAATTTGAGGGTCTCGGATTTATATTTACTATGTTACGTCTAGTCTATGTGACCAGGCTTTGTTACCCCTGAGGGATACAACCAATGCTTATTCAAGCTAACTAACTATTTAACATAGGATTTGTTGCATGAGCTGAACATCTGAGTTGTGCACTAATTTCTACACACCGGTCTACTTCTACCCACTGTACAGTATATGGTGTCAAGACAAACTTTAGGCCTCAAGCCTATCCGTCCTTAAATGTAGGTGTTCGAGAGCCGCCGAGAGTGTACTTTGGCACTTTGGACCAAACGCAAGTTCGACTCTATGCCTCCCTCCACCAAACCAGGGTGGCCTCTCGAAAATAAACATCCCAGACAGACTGCTCCACTCCCATCAAATTGCTTTCATCTAAGGCCAATGACAACTGCATTCTGGGAGCTTCTTGTCAGCTGTTCGCATTGTGGTGTCAGCTGGCCGTCTCCTGCCTCTCGCTCGCTCTCTCTCGGCTTGACGTGGCAGCGCCACTCTGTTGTGACAGTGGGGAGTCACCGTTTGGTGGTCGGTTTTACTTATTTAAACAGTGCCAATTGATTTTAAAAGCCGCAAAAAAACACTGAGGTGAACGTCATGTTTATGTCATTAGGGGGACTCATTTTGTAGGAGGGGGCTGAAACGAATACAACACCAGCCCCACCGTTCCTGCCAAACGGTGAAGCGTTTTGCATTGTCATTGACAGAAACAACTTGAATTGTTGCATCTCGTTGTGTTGTTGTCCTCCGGAGGCTAGCTAGCTAAAACTGGTCCTTTCCTAAATTAGCCATGGATGGAGATAGGGTTTTACTTACTTAACTCTCCATGGTTCTAAATCATTAGTTGTTTATTGTAGTATCTGAGGAATTATGATTTTGCTAACATTTTCAAATGGAACCTGAGAGGAGGTTTATTCAGCTTAGAGGGAGCATCTGGGGAGTAGTTTTAGGGGGACACCCCATAGAACAGAGGAAGTCTGTTGTGTGGAGACAGGGGATTGGTTGGTAGGAAGAACCACCCATATCAGATTACATAGGATATATACCACAGTTAAGACAAAGGAAGACAGAATAATCATATTTGAGATGGGGCGATTGTTCTCCAGGTATCTGCAGGTATCTGTAAATCGACGCTGTAACCCTTTGTTATGAATAAACCTTTATGATGAAAATACAGCGTCAGCAGTTCTCCTTGGTCTCACAGCATAATTAGCAACGTTTTCTCGACACAACATTATTAGTCTGAAAATGTTGGAAACATTAACTTGCTTGACCATGCTGTAGGTCATGTAACTGTTTGTTACATGCAAAATGCTTTGTGGACTTCACCGGACAGAGGTTGCGCTCTGGTTTGGTGATGAAACAAAGGTGTGGTTGAATTTATTCTGCCACTGTGTTTTCTTTTGTCTCGGCCTCAGGCCTATATATCACATATGAACTAACAGGTTATAGAGCACACAACGCAATTATCACAACACATAGGTTGTAATATCTCATTTTTTTCTGGCTTGGCTTCCCCAGTGATTTTACCCAGCACCGCTACTGCTCTTCACACACACACACACACACACACCCACACATACACACACACACACACACACACACACACACCTTCTTAAGCTCAAACAGGAGTAGGAATGTATTCTTAGAAATACTGTATTTTCAGCTTGAGACCTCAAAAGTCTTGCTTTTCCTACAAGCATGTTCCATCCCCTTATCTGATTGCATGTGCATACTAAATTGGTGTACAATAGATAGTTATTAGGCTACATTAGATTTAAAGGGTGTGTCTCAAAGGGTTTTTGTTGACTTGCTTTTCCATCCGATCATGTAATAAGCAGTAAGAGGATTTGTTTCCTAATCACAAGTTTGAGACATAACTTTGATTGTGGAATACTCCAAAAAGACCATGGAATACACTGAGTGTACAAAACATTAGGAACACCTTCCTAATATTGAGTTGCACCTCCTTTTGCCCTCAGAACAGCCTCAATTCAGCCGGGGCATGGACTCTACAAGGTGTCGAAAGCATTCCACAGGGATGCTGGCCCATGTTGACTCCAATGCTTCCCACAGTTGTGTCAAGTTGGCTGGATGTCCTTTGGGTGGTGGACCATTGTTGATACACACTGGAAACTGTTGAGCGTGAAAAACCCAGCACCATTGCAGTTCTTGACACACTCAAACCGGTGCGCCTGGCACCTACTACCATACCCTGTTCAAAGTCACTTAAATATTTTGTCTTGCCCGTTCACCCTCTGCATGGCACACATACACAATCCACATCTCAATTGTCTCAAGGCTTAAACATCCTTCTTTAACCTGTCTCCTCCCCTTCATCTACACTGATTGAAGTGGATTTAACAGGTGACATCAATAAGGGATCATAGCTTTCACCTGTCGTTGAAAGAGCTCCATATACACTCAGTGTATATGGAGACATTTTGATGTTGGTAATAACTTGTGAACACAATATTTAAAAGAAAAGCAGGTAGCCTAATAAATAGATGTCTGAATTAAATTAGACATGCAGACCTTACTTATTTGATGTAGCAGCAGTGCCATATCATCTTAAATGTCAGCTTTTTGTATGGATATCAGGCTCCTTATTCCAATGGGACTACATTAGACAACATTTCACTCCCATGACATCATGTAACTATTTCACAGTGGTGCTTGTATAACATCAGCACTTATTTATATATGAAGAGTTTACTATATGCCATTATTTCCCGAGTGGCGCAGTGGTCTAAGGCACTGCATCACAGTGCTAGCTGTGCCACTAGAGATCCTGGTTCAAATCCAGGCTCTGTCGTAGCTGGCCGCGACCGGGAGACCTATGGGGCGGCGCACAATTGGCCCAGTGTAGAGGAGAGAATGGCCGGCAGGGATGTAGCTCAGTTGGTAGAGCATGGCGTTTGTAATGCCAGGGTTGTGGGTTCGATTCCCACGGGGGGCCAGTATGAAAAATAAAATTAAAATAATGTATGCACTCACTAACTGTAAGTCCCTCTGGATAAGAGCGTCTGCTAAATGACTAAAATGTAATTGTACAGCAGCATGGCAAATAGGCTACCTTTCTCTAGAAGTTACCATGCATCCTGACAAACTTTCTTGGAAGGCTATATTCACCCTATCATATAACATGTTTAGGGAGAGAATCAGGTCCTCAAAATAACATTAAGAGAAATAGAGTTGGTTGCACGGTTTACTGGAATAGCTTCCAATAGCTTTACTGGTGAGAATAGTTAGAGATATGTTTTTTCAAAAGGTTCCACTTTTGAAAAACTTAGGCTATCACAAACAGCCTAGTCTAGTGCACTACAGTTTGGCCTTTTCTCAATTATTAAGCTAATGGAAGTGTCCTCCCCTCCTCGATAGACACCTTTGATCTAGGATAGTCATGTGTATCCTACCTAAGTCCTTCCTGGAAAAGTTTTTAAATCTACCACACCCCATTTGAATCAGCTTTTGTTTGTGGGAGGAGAAAGCATGTACACGTTTAAAAACAATATGCTACTTATCATTTTATCTATAAAATGTCTTGCACAACAAACTTTTTTTTAAATGACTTTACACATTTATTTTGGGATTCCACCCATGTAAACGTAATTTGCCTGATGACAACCAAGTAGGAGAGGCTCATTTCATACAAGCGCATTTTCGTCCATGTTCACTCTTCTCTCGCCACCTTTCCTCGATTACCTTTGACCTTTTTCAAAAGGAGGCGAGAGAGGACTGAAGAAGGAGGGCGCAGGAGTTGATAAATCCAATTGAGAAAAGGCCCATGAATAAACTTCAACCCAATTACTGACCTTCGAAGAATTTAAGTCTTCGATGAGGCATGTTGGTACTTTCAGCGTTTTCTTTTAGTAGAGTAGTCCAACGCAAGTTTCGGGTAGCTTACATTGTTAAACTTGAAAAACGGACCAAATAAATGTTTAAGAGAGTGTCGTTTGATTACGCACTACATTGAACTTACCTTTAATACTAATTCCAAGTCCTCCCACATCTTGCTTGGTAACTCGCACCGTGCGCTTAACGTTGGTGATTGTTTCTGGGACCGGAGAGGAGCTGAGGTTGGCTGGGTCTCCGTTAATGGCACCGGCGGGAGTTGGGTTGGTTTTAACTGTGTCTTCGGCGACCTCTCCGGGGCTCACGGTTAAAGTCTCCTCGCTAAGTGTGGCTAAAACACGGATCCAACGGTCCACGGTAACTCGAAGTTCCAACAGTCCCGTTTTCTGTGCCTTCATCGCGGCAGCCATGTTCAACACATTCCTGGAATAACTATAGACGGGTTGGCACTCGGTAGTCGTGTAAAGAGAGAGGGGTGGGTGAGATGCCAAGAGACGCAGCCCCCTCCTCCAACTCTCTCTCACTCACTATCTCACTATCTCTAGCTCTCTCTCTCTTTCTCTCTCCTCTTCCAAGAGGTTTAGCCTAGTACTATCTCCCAAGTATTGAAGTTAATTGAGCACAATACGATTAGCAAAGCTCAAAGGTGACTTTTTTATTTTCATTCATTAACAAAGTTTATGCAGTGGCCAACATACTTTTTGTGTATGAAAATAGTAGTTTTTTTAGTGCTGGACTTTCATAATTCACAACAAGACCATTATAAAGTCGTATAAATCATTATATGAACAGACATCACGATTTACTATGAATCACTTTATTGTTTGAATAATAGTTTGTAACAATAATGATATCAGAACAATGCTGCAATGCAGTAGGCTACCTATTTATGTTTTTGATGGGTGAAATGTTATCTTTGACCTCACCCTATTTTCCCATGATTTGGGTTTGATGTTTTCTCAAATAAAAGATTGATATCATGTTATAACTCGTTCATTACACTTTTATGAAACAAACATGATGTGTATCGTGTTGCATTGTATCTAATGGTGATTGGCATAGATCTAAAGATCCCAATATCTTTAGCCAAACTGTATTACAATACAATCACACTTTAGTGATGATATTTAATTTGCCCACAACGACCAGAGGGCAACTTTATATTATTCATTTACATAGCCTATTAGTTCACTACAGTTTTTCACCTCAAAAGGTTAAGAAGCGACTTGGTATGTATGCATTTTCGTTTCAGTATTTGAAAATACACATTCAATGAACAAAGTGAAGCATAGGCCTACTTTATTAAAGTGCTGAGAAATAGCAAGTCAGTCCACTTTCAGATTAACATTGCCAGTGTAATAGGATCATCAATAACCTTTAAACTGTTTATAGGAGACAACCATCCCACTAGGCCTATACAGTGTTTGTGAAAGGCAGAAACAGCACCCTATTCACCATTGGACCCCATTGGGCCATGGTCAAAAGTAGTGCACTCCCTATATAGGGAATGCCATTTGGGACGCAGCCTATATTGACCGCTTCTTGGGCTCTTAGCATATGGCCCTTCCTCAAAACGGGTTTACACCGTACTGTAAATGAGGAGGTAGTATGGGGCTCTGAAAACTGAATCAATACCAACCCTATCTGCCAACTACTCCAAAGAGCCTGACACAGACGAACTGTAAATCCCTGAGGGGTGAGAAGAGTGAGCTCTTAGTATATCAGACAGACAGAGTGCCTGTCCCAAATGGCACCCTATTCCCTACTAAGTGCACTACTTTTGACCAGGGCCCTATAGAGCTCTGGTCACTCTGGTCAAAAGTAGTACACTACATACAGTGGGGAGAAAAAGTATTTGATACACTGCCGATTTTGCAGGTTTTCCTACTTACAAAGCATGTAGAGGTCTGTAATTTTTATCATAGGTACACTTCAACTGTGAGAGACGGAATCTAAAACAAAAATCCAGAAAATCACATTGTATGATTTTTAAGTAATTAATTTACATTTTATTGCACGACATAAGTATTTGATCACCTACCAACCAGTAAGAATTCCGGCTCTCACAGACCTGTTAGTTTTTCTTTAAGAAGCCCTCCTGTTCTCCACTCATTACCTGTATTAACTGCACCTGTTTGAACTCGTTACCTGTATAAAACACACCTGTCCACACACTCAATCAAACAGAATCCAACCTCTCCACAATGGCCAAGACCAGAGAGCTGTGTAAGGACATCAGGGATAAAATTGTAGACCTGCACAAGGCTGGGATGGGCTACAGGACAATAGGCAAGCAGCTTGGTGAGAAGGCAACAACTGTTGATGCAATTATTAGAAAATGGAAGAAGTTCAAGATGACGGTCAATCACCCTTGGTCTGGGGCTCCATGCAAGATCTCACCTCGTGGGGCATCAATGATCATGAGGAAGGTGAGGGATCAGCCCAGAACTACACGGCAGGACCTGGTCAATGACCTGAAGAGAGCTGGGACCACAGTCTCAAAGAAAACCATTAGTAACACACTACGCCGTCATGGATTAAAATCCTGCAGCGCACGCAAGGTCCAATGCTGCAGACATGTTTTGGTACCCTTCCCCAGATCTGTGCCTCGACACAATCCTGTCTCGGTGTCACGATCGTCAAAAGGAGCGGACCAATGCGCAGCGTTGCGAGTGAACATGATGACTTTATTTAATAAAGTGCAACACGAGAAAACTAAACAAAAGACGATACGTGAAGTCCAAAAGTTACCAATACTGAAACACGGAAAATGGAACAAGGAAACAAAAACCCACAAACACAAGGTGAAACCACACAGTTTAAATATGGCTCCCAATCAGAGATAACGAGCTGACAGCTGTCACTCGTTACCTCCGATTGGGAGTCACAAGAATACAAACAAGGAAGACAACCACCTAGACACCCCAACCAAACAGCACACAACAAAACGAACACACCTCATACCCAACCTAGCCCACACAACACCCAACAAAACAAACACACCCTGGTTCTATAACAACGTCCCGGAACCAGAGCGTGACAGTACCCCCCCCTAAAGGTGCGAACCCCGGGCGCACCAGCATACAGTCTAGGGGAGGGTCTGGGTGGGCGTCTGTCCACGGTGGCGGTTCTGCCCCTGGTCGTGGTCCCCATCCCACCTTAGTCACCACCCGCTTCTCTAGCCTCCTCCACATTACCACCCCCCAACTACACCCCACTGGGTTAAGGGGCGACACCGGACTAAGGGGCAGCACCGGACTACGGGGCAGTACCGGACTAAGGGGCAGTACCAGGCTAAGGGGCAGTACCGGACAGAATGGCGGATACTGGCTGGACGGCTTTGGCGGCTCCCGGCTGGACGGCTCTGGCGGATCCCGGCTGGTCGGCTCTGGCGGATCCCGGCTGGACGGCTCTGGCGGATCCCGGCTGGACGGCTCTGGCGGATCCCGGCTGGACGGCTCTGGCGGATCCCGGCTGGACGGCTCTGGCGGATCCCGGCTGGACGGCTCTGGCGGATCCCGGCTGGACGGCTCTGGCGGATCCTGGCTGGACGGCTCATGGCTGGCTGACGGATCTGGCTGCTCATGGCTGGCTGACTGATCTGGCTGCTCATGGCTAGCTGACGGATCTGGCTGCTCATGGCTAGCTGGCGGATCTGGCTGCTTATGGCTGGCTGACGGATCTGGCTGCTCATGGCTGGCTGACGGATCTGGCTGCTCATGGCTAGCTGACGGATCTGGCTGCTCATGGCTGGCTGACGGATCTGGCTGCTCATGGCTGGCTGACGGATCTGGCTGCTCATGGCTGGCTGACGGATCTGGCTGCTCATGGCTGGCTGACGGATCTGGCTGCTCATGGCTGGCTGACGGATCTGGCTGCTCATGGCTGGCTGACGGATCTGGCTGCTCATGGCTGGCTGACGGATCTGGCTGCTCAAGGCTGGCTGACGGATCTGGCTGCTCATGACTAGCTGACGGATCTGGCTGCTCATGGCTAGCTGACGGATCTGGCTGCTCATGGCTGGCTGACGGATCTGGCTGCTCATGGCTGGCTGACGGATCTGGCTGCTCATGGCTAGCTGACGGATCTGGCTGCTCATGGCTGGCTGACGGATCTGGCTGCTCATGGCTGGCTGACGGATCTGGCTGCTCATGGCTAGCTGACGGATCTGGCTGCTCATGGCTAGCTGACGGATCTGGCTGCTCCTGTCTGGCAGAAGGCTCTGGCTGATCCTGTCTGGCAGAAGGCTCTGGCTGATCCTGTCTGGCGGAAGGCTCTGGCTGATCCTGTCTGGCAGAAGGCTCTGGCTGATCCTGTCTGGCAGAAGACTCTGGCTGATCCTGTCTGGCAGAAGGCTCTGGCTGATCCTGTCTGGCGGAAGGCTCTGGCTGATCCTGTCTGGCGGAAGGCTCTGGCTGATGCCGTCTGGCGGAAGGCTCTGGCTGATCCCGTCTGGCGGAAGGCTCTGGCTGATCCTGTCTGGCGGGAGGCTCTGGCTGATCCTGTCTGGCGGGAGGCTCTGGCTGATCCTGTCTGGCGGGAGGCTCTGGCTGATCATGTCTGGCGGAAGGCTCTGGCTGATCCTGTCTGGCGGAAGGCTCTGGCTGATCCCGTCTGGCGGAAGGCTCTGGCTGATCCTGTCTGGCGGAAGGCTCTGGCTGATCCCGTCTGGCGGTAGGCTCTGGCTGATTTTGTCTGGCGGTAGGCTCTGGCTGATCCTGTCTGGCGGAAGGCTCTGGCTGATCCTGTCTGGCGGAAGGCTTTAGCGGCTCCTGTCTGGCGGAAGGCTTTAGCGGCTCTGGTCTGGCGGACGGCTCTGAAGGCTCATGGCAGACGGGCGGCTTAGCAGGCTCAGTACATACGGGCCGTTCATGCAGCGCTTGGCATACGGACAGTTCAGACGGCGTTGGGCAGACGGGCAGTTCAGGCAGTGCTTGGCAGACGGACAGTTCAGACGGCGTTGGGCAGACGGGCAGTTCATGCAGTGCTTGGCAGACGGACAGTTCAGACGGCGTTGGGCAGACGGGCAGTTCTGGCAGTGCTTGGCAAACGGACAGTTCAGACGGCGTTGGGCAGACGGGCAGTTCATGCAGTGCTTGGCAGACGGACAGTTCAGACGGCGTTGGGCAGACGGGCAGTTCTGGCAGTGCTTGGCAAACGGACAGTTCAGACGGCGTTGGGCAGACGGGCAGTTCATGCAGCGCTTGGCATACGGACAGTTCAGACGGCGTTGGGCAGACGGGCAGTTCAGGCAGTGCTTGGCAGACGGACAGTTCAGACGGCGTTGGGCAGACGGGCAGTTCATGCAGTGCTTGGCAGACGGACAGTTCAGACGGCGTTGGGCAGACGGGCAGTTCTGGCAGTGCTTGGCAAACGGACAGTTCAGACGGCGTTGGGCAGACGGGCAGTT